TTCATTTATTTTGCTTTAGGCATCTTCATCCTCTGCCGGCTTTCTCCCGGGCAGGGAGGAGGGAGTGCCTGAGCTGGCCTTGAGAGCTGAAGGAGGTCCTGCTGGGAATTTCCTTGTGGCCTTCTCTTTTACGAAAGGCAGAGGAGACTGCTAACAGCTCTCCTGGTGTCAAAGGGGCTCTCTGAAATCAATGTGAATGCAGCACTTGTCTCCTTTCGAAAGGCTTTCAGCGATTCCTCCGAGTGCGAGGGTGAGCTGGGCAGAGATGTAATAAAGATGAGCTTGTCCAAACAGTTGTCAAGAACATCCAGGGAGGCAGCCCTCGAAAAAGGGGGCGAGTGCCAGGCTGGCACCTCGGAGGGGGTGAAGAGCAGGTGCCGTTGGCGCTGTGCGTGTCCTGTTAATGTGCCTGAGGGTAGAATAAATGTCGGGTGTGGGAGAGAGCTTCAGTTTGCTCTGTTACATGTGGATTTTTTTTCCTCCCACAAAGTAGCGGGTTACGTCTTTCCTCCCTTTCTGTCACCATATTAAAAAGTTTCGGTAGGTGGAACAGGATATCGGAGCTTTGTGAATCCAGCTGGACAAACGGCTCTGCATAGGTTGTGCTTTCCCTGTTTTTCTTCAAAACTGTCTTGAAAGTAAAAAGCTCTTGGTTATGGCTGTTTGGTGTCCCTCTCTTGCCCTTCTCTGCGGAAAAGAAATGGGACGATGTCCATCGTCTCATTCATATGACATCCATCGTTGTCGCTTCCTACTTCCTTTTCCTCCCTTGGAGCAAATACTATATTGTGTTTTTAAGTTCATATGTGGATTTTGAAACTCTAAGACCTAAACCAGCCCTGATACAGTACCAGCCCTATTAAAATGCTTGCAGAATGCTTGAAATTGCTGCTGCTCGAAGAAGGTTTCTTCAAGTTGTCAGTCTGTAGAGAACGCTTGCCGGTAACCCGGGCAGGGCCGTCCTGGACGTGAACGGCCTGGCCACGGGCCCTCTGGGTTACGTTAGACCATGTTGGCGGAGTGCCACAGGGAAAAGCTTCTTGTCGGCTTCTGTTTCCCCCTTCCCTTAAATAAATGTCGGAGCTCAGACTCTGGCAGTGGTACCTTCAGGGAGTCAGTCACACCTCCGGCCACACGCGTGGGCCTGGTCATGGCATAAGTGGACGTTGTAGGGTCTCTTCACGCTTGGTCAGGCTGGGATTTAGCTAAACAATTCCTCTGCTTTGGCAGCGTGTTTTGTAAACCTCTTGTGAGTTCGCAGAAAATGGCAATATTGTTTAAGTCTTTCTCAGTGAGATAAATCAGAGAAACTGTGTCCTGGAATGGTTTGCAAATATTAAGTCTAGTGATAATTATCCAGAAGTACCTTCTTGGAGAGGGTTTGCGCGTGAACTTCTGTTCTCGTTGCTGCGCACAGGACAAGAAATACTGTTAGAATGGCTGCAAGGAAGGTTTGAGTTAATTAATTCTTACAGCTAAGTGCTTCATTCTAAAGTTAATTGCAGGAATAGATTTTCAAAATCTTTCAGGGGAGATCCCACAGACCAGGATAGTTGCTGTTGCCCTTGGAGGACGGGTCTGCCGAGTGGTGCGACGATGGGGAGAGCGGCTGATGCCGCTGCTGCGAGGGGTGGTTGGTGTAGCCGTGCTCGCAGCAGCGCTGGCAGCGTCCTGCCTGCACCGTGCCGGGTGTTCCCGGGGTGACGCGCTCTGCCTGGTCTCGTGCCGTGATTTCCCCAGGCTACTTTGCCGGTGCGCGAGAGAAATCCGAGTGTGGCTTCTCTCGGGGTCCTGTGTGCAGAAGGAATATAGTGACATTTGGTATAGATTTTTTTAATTTCTTTTCTCCTTTTCTCAGAGAAAGAGGTTTGCTTTCCTTCAGCAGGCTTTTTGCATGTGATAGATCACTTCAGCGTCAGTAGTGCTTCTCGCCAGCCGCTGTGATTTGGGGGACAGGGGAGGGGGGGGTTGATTGTGCTTCTGCAGTTACTTCTCTCGTTTAGGCCATATT